CAAGGCAAGGTGTTTCGGAAGTGGCTTGCCAGTGCCTCCTTCCTAGAGCAGAGCCCAGCTGGTGAGTGCAGGAGGCGGGGTTTCCGTTGCTTGGCGCCTTTCTCGGGCAAGCGCAGCTTCTGCACTACCAGCAACTGCTCCCGACTCCTTTTGCAAGGCACTGCCAGCATTTTTCCTCCCACCAGAGTGAGAGTCCCCATTTCTCTACTCACGTGAGTTTTCGAACTGTTGGGTTGACAGGAACTGGGGGAGGAAACAGGAGCTCACTCTGCTAATGCGAAGGGTGGGCTTGAACTGCTGAAGTGTCGACCATTTCTGGCGGGCAACTTTCAGCGTCATTAAGCCGCTGCGCCACCGCATCTTCATGCCTTCTAAATATTGTTTTAAAACAGCAGTAGAGTAGAAAATCATTCTACAATTCCTTCTTTTTGTTCTCCCTCCCACTGTCATTCCAGTTAATGTTTATCATTTAACAATCATATATTGCTTCCAATATGCAGTGGGGCAGAGTCCATCTTACTATTAACAGTAATCAGTCTTGCATTAAGAAGTTGACTTTGTCTCTTATTTATTAGGTTTACAACAAAGTCAACATACAAAGCAGTCTCTCTTCCAGTTTTTCCCACAACAATCTACTGGGATGGATTGAATTGAGGAAGAGTGACAGGCCCATGTAAAAAGTAGACTTGAACTTGAAAATTCCCACCCACTGCCTCCAAACATAGTAGAAGAGGGTTTTTTTTTAAAGAGTTTATTGTAAGCACCTAGAAGTGACTGCCACGTATATAATATAATGAAATCCCTTTATTTCTGTTCTTGTCTCCAACCTTTAATGGATTTTAATTAATAGATATATTGTGTTGTATGATCCAAGATACTGTATCAGGAATATATTTCTAAAGTAATTTTCCTTAATTATTTTAACACACCTCTTGTTGCACCTTGCCCCAGTATTATTCTAGTTGTCCATTTTCCATAACTTTGTTGCTCCTTTAAACACTGAGTAGCATAGGAAATGGGAGGCTTTGATTCAAATCCTGCCTCAAACATGGCTCTGTGGAAACCTTAACCATTGTACTCTCCCTTCAATTAATAATGAAGAAATTGAGACTTGGAGAAAAAATAGAATAGCATGTTCTATGAGTTATAGTGAGGTTAAACAGAAGAATGACATATTTAAAGTTCATCAGTTTTATGTGTCATATACCTGTATTTCAGTAGGAAAGAGTTCAATCTAGCTTTGCTGTACCATCCAAAACATGCATAAATTTGGGTGGATCATACCCAGTAATGAAAGTTACAGGTGTAGATCAAGGTCAACAAACCTGTTGCTCTCCAGAGATTGACGAACAATAGTTCCCCTTGTTCCTCATCATTAGCCATGCTAGCTGAAGCTGTTGGGACTAGGAACATTTGCTGGAGTAGATTAGGAAGGACTATAAATGTATTTTTCCTAGTCCCTTGCTTTCATCATTTAATCTCTCATCCTGAACACACATATCTAGAAATATCTGTTATGGAAATAGGGGTTGACCACTAGATGCATTTAGATTCTTGAGCTATTTGGGATATCTTTAAGATTTCCCAATTGTTTTGCTGAGCGTTTATATTAAATGGTGTTGAAAGTAAGCATTCTTGGAAAGCTATATATTCTACCTTGGTCCATCTTTAGTGGCTTTGCTCCTGGCCTTTATTCATTGTAGTAGAAACTCCCAATTCCCTACTGCTTTTCTCCTTGCTAAAGTTATTTTTGTAGAATGTATCATTCTGAGTTTGAATTCAGAGAAAACTCATTCCTTGGTAGGCATAGAATATTATCTTTCAAAACGGAGAAAGAACAAAACATTGGCAGAGGTTTAACAGTCACTGGCTGAGATAAAGATAAGATAAAGTTGTGGCTCAAGGGAAGCGAAAGAGGGTTGGGTTGCCATTGAACAATTTCAGATTTGTAAGTAGAATCTTTTGAGATTTTATTTTGAGGCCTGCTGAGCACAGTGGCAACCCATTCAAACGCACCACGCAATGTGACAAGAAGGTGCTTGTGTACAGAAGGAAAGCACTACTGGAAGTGTAGGAAATGCTGATTAGCACATTCTTATAATTTGCTCTCACAGAGTCAATTGCCAATGTTTTGAACACTGGCAGCAAAGCTTTCCTTTAATAACGTTTGCTTGATGCATTAATTAATTAACCCTTAACCTTCTCTTTCCCTTTTCAACCCTTTTTCTCCTTTCCCCCTCTCACCATGTTCCCAACGTATATAAACAATTTGTTTAAAAAAAAATGCACACGCGCAAAAAAAAAAAATCAATTCAAAAGCAGGCAATGCATGTGTGGCCATGCCTCACAAAATAGGTCGGATTATTGAGGGGAGCCCAGCAGACCGGTGCGGGAAGCTGAAAGTTGGGGACCGGATATTGGCTGTTAATGGATGCTCCATCACCAACAAATCACATTCGGACATCGTCAATCTAATTAAAGAAGCAGGAAACATGGTTACTCTGCGCATAATTCCAGGGGATGGTAAAGTATACATTCTCTCTTTCTCCCCTACCCTTTTTCCTACAATAGAATATGGCGATTGCTATTTATCAGCATATGAAGTGCTTTGAGTTGCAGTGCTGCTGTTTTGTCTTCTCCTTCTCTTCCTGATTTTCTCTCTGTGTATGTGTGCAGGGGGGTAGGGAGAAAACATGCTACTTTTATGGAGAAAGGTAGATTTGGCATTTGCAAGAATGGGTCTCTTTCCTTAGGTCACTTTTATGTGAGATGGGCGGCTATAAATAAATAAATAAAATGTGAGAGCAAAGGTTAAAAAAAAAAAAAACTTTGCAGCTGATTCTTTGCTTGAATATTATTTCAACTCTCCACCCCCTGAATAGCATTAGTATCCATGTATCCTGAGTATGTATTAGTACATTGCATACACTTGGTAGTTATATGATGTGCACAACAGTATGTTGGCTTGCAAGTTAGTCTCCGGATTAGAGATTCAGATGCATAGTCTACCGCGAGCATATTGGGGCTAAAACTGGGTTTGTGCTGCATTTGTGGCATATTGGCCAAAACGTACTAAATTATTACTGTTGCTATTGCTTTTCATGACTATTACTCTGTCTATCCATGGGACAGGATGCAATTAAGTCTGCTAACCTAGTCAACCCTTTATCTTGTTATGGCCCTGCTGAACTTGTCTTCTGATGAACAGGTGATATGAAACAGGGCTGTAACATATCTTACTAGAAAGCATTATATGAAAGTCTTGATTGACTAAAGACAGTTGGGGCTGGAGGTCAGCGTCTATGGGCCCATTCTGATTTTATCCATGACATATGGATGGAGTGTATGAGGAGTAAATGGCAAAGAGCATGAATTAATGAAAGGAAAGGAAAAAAATGTATATGTCTGAAGGGAAACATAAGGGAAAGGGAAAGATTGTAATAAATCTGAATGAACGTGTTCTGGGAGTTGAGCTGATGAATACATGTAGGGAAGGGAAGATTGTAGTTGCACATAAAAGGGCTAAAATGTCTTTCAGAACATATGAATTGGTGCCATCTAAGTTACTGTGTGTGTATATAAAAGTAGGAATCCATAGGATAATAACAGTGACATGTTATGCTCCAGTAAATTTTTATAATGGAAAAACAGGCATGAATTTAAGGGAAAATTGCGCAACATTCTAAAGAATGTGTGTCTGGGAGGATGTTACACATGGATAGACAAGAAAGTATAGAAAAATAACTATCTGGGCCATTCAGAGACCAAGAATGAATGAGAATGATGACTTTTGGTGAGTATGTGTTTAAAAAAAGATATGCTCAAGCATATGTTTTGAAAACAACATATGCTGGAGTGAATATTTTAAAGATTTGCATGGGAATGATAGTGATATGTCAAGAGTAGAAGAAAAAATGAAAAAGTCATGCATCCTCTGAGAATGTTGAAAAATGGTAAGGCTGTAAGTACAGACGATTTAATTGGAGAAGTGTTAAATATACATATAGTGCAAAAGTTTACTTCTGGAATGACTATGCGGCTTGTTTAATGTGTGTGTGAAAACTGCATCTGTGTAATAGGAAAGATGCCATTATTGTGCCCAAAGGGAAAGTTAGCAAGAGTGAATGCAAAAGCTGCAGAGCATTAGTTTGCTAAGCATGTCTTGGAAGATATTTGGCAAAATTGGGATCAAAAGGGTACTAGGAGGACACACTGACCAACTTTGGGAAGTGCAGTGGTTTTATGTCAAGCAGGGAATGTGCAAACCAGATTTCTGCTTTTCAGCAGTTCCTTGAAAAAGTCTGTTGCAACTTTGTTGATTCAGAGACAGTGCATGATAAAGTGAATAGTCTTGAACTGTGGATTGTTTAGTGAAAATATGGGGTTGAAAGTTGGTTGCTAAATGCAGTAAGTCTGGTATATGATAAAAGCATGGGTGAGAATAAATAAAATGTGTAGCACATAGTTCATCAATGAACAGAAAGTTAGACAACAATGTGTGATGTTTGCTTGTTTAATGTACTTATAGATAAGTATGTTTGAATGCTTGTGGTAACAGTAGAGGTATATGGGTTGGGGATATTTATGTATCTATATGTCTGTATACAAATAATGTCAGATGGTTGTCTGAGAACCCAAATTATTTGCAGAAAATGTTAGGTAAATCAAATTATATAAAGAGTAGTATAAGCCTAAAAACTGAATGACTATAGTTATACATAAAGTTACATGCAAATGTTTAGGCACCTCGGATCAAATTGTATGCGTCAATGAATCCCTAAGTTAACAAGCGTTTACATTACCTCTATATGGTAGAAAGTGAAACATTATTTGCATCTATTTCATCTCAAGATATCTGGTGGAGTGGGCATGTTTTGGGTGCCTCCTATGAAACATTTTACTTAATGAGATCCAACAGCCATGCCTTCTCTGTCACAGTATGTGCCCTTTGGAACAACAGACCATCGAGATTTGGCTGGCTCTGACCCTATTAGCTCTCCATAAGGCTGTAAAAAACCTGATTTTTCCCCTAGGCATTGGGTATTGGATGAGCCTCTCGGGTGAATAGTTTTGGAATCTGAACTTGCTGTAATTTGGCCTCTGTTGTATTGTATTGTGGGCTGTTTCTGTGGTTTTATGTTCATTGGTTATTTTGCTCTGTTAATCACCTAAAGTCACAATTTGCAAAATGGGTGGCCATATCAGTTGCTTAAATAAATAAGTAAAATAAAAATAATGAAATATTTGCATACATTTGAATGCATACTTACTATTTATATGCAGTTTATAGATTCAAAATAAAGAAAACAGTGAGTATGGCAGATGCTGAAATTTGAATACCTTTCCTGTTGATTCAGTGCTAATTTTTTTTTTTGACTGTATAATAAAGTTGTTAATAAGACTTGAAAAGATGCATGTCTCATTAGGCCTACAATGGGCCTACATGGAACTATTAAAGTCAAGTCTGGACCTGGGAAACCAAGACAAATCTTTGCTGGAACTGCCTTAAAAATTGGTAAGATCTCCCTACAGATCACTGCAAATGACCTGCTAAAAAATTTAGCCTACACTGTCAATAGATCCGTAATCAACAATGCTTTCAAATTCAACATTTGTCTGACTGGGAGAGCTGTCAAAAGTAAAACTTTTCTCTGAGCTCATCAGAAAAAAAAATCATTGCCTAAAGTATGCAACCTTGATAAGCCTGAAATCTTTTGAAACAAAATATTTTGGACTGATCAAACAAAAATGTACTGTAGGTGTTCAGTTTAATCTACACAAGATACATTTGGAAGAGAAAGCAAGAAGCATTAGAAGAAAAAGACACTTTGCCAACCATTAAGCACAGGAGTGCTTTTATTATGTGTTGGAATGAGTGGAAGCCAGTGACACTAGAAGTGTTGTGCAAGTGAAAAGAAGAATTGATTCAACTAAATATCAACATACAGGTAGACCTCGCTTACCAACTGCCTCGTGCAGTGACCGTTCGAAGTTAAAGGGTGCTGAAAAATAACTTTGCAAACAAGGTGTGCATTTACAACCTTCATAGTGTCTCTCTCCCTCTCTCTGTCACCTGTTCATCATTACAATCAGTTAGTATGCATTGTCCCTGTGCCATTCCCCCCCCCCCCCAGCTTTGCAGAGTAGAGAGATTGCTTAAACAAGTAATCTCTTTAGGCAATTTCTCCTGTGCCTGACTCATTTTTTTTCTTCTACCCCTATTGCAGAGCGGAGAGATTAGAGAGGAAGGGATTACAAGAGAGTAAGCAGGGACACATTGCAGAATATACTTCAAAAAGAATGTGCTAGCGCTGGTTGTTTGCCTAGCGCACTCGGAGCTGGGAGCAGCAAGTGTTCTAAGCAAACAGCCAGCACCAGCACATTCCATTCAATGTGTATTCCCCACTGTGTGCCTGCTTACTGCCTTGCAATACTTTCCTCTCCGGTGAATGTAAATACAATTCTCTTCTTGCTAATTATCCTGGCCCCGGGGTGAACATTCCAAAGGGTGGGGGAGTGGGGAGAAAGGAAAGCTGAAGTAAAATCATAAGCACAGTCATGGTCACGTGATTTTCCACTTAGCAAGTGTGTCACTTAGCAAGAGAGTTGTCAGTCCCAATTGTGGTCACTAAATGAAGACTACCTGTATTTAGCTAGGGTCCCACAGTCAGTGAAGTATTTGAAGCTGAAAAGAAGTTAGATATTTCAGCAAGACAGCAAACTGAAACTTACCTCTAAATCAACCATTAAGCAATTTAGGAAAGAAAGATAAGAGTCCCCAAACTTGAATATTATTCAAAATACATGGGGAGATTTGAAACGGGGTGCACAATAGGAGACCTAAAATTATTTCTCAATTGGAAGAGTTCTACAGGGAAGAATGGGAATAACTTTTTTTTTTTTTTTATGCCAAAGGAAATGTTACAGAGTACTAACTGAAAGGGTTTCCAAACCTGTCATGCTCATTGTTTTCTCATTTTGAATTTATAAACATCAGCACATAAAGAATAAGTATGCATTCGCATTTGCAGAAGGAAGTCGAGTCCAACTTTGTAGTATGTAGAGGTTGTGTCAGCTTCTGTTCGCTTAGGAATTCTCAGAAACATACATTTGACTAGGGGCGCCTAAACTTTTGTCTGCAACTGTGAATTATGAAAAACTAGAGCAATTAGCTGAATTTGCATAACTTGAAAGAATGTTTAATACAAATGGGAAAATGGAGAAATCACAACATACACAAATGATGATAGAAAGATGGTGGGTCATATGTGGTGCTACAGGAAAGGAATGCTTATTGAAAAAAGCAAAATTGGCAGTATATAAGAGCAGGCTTTGGTTCACTTTGTTGTATAGAAGAAAGAGTTGGATATGGCAGTAGAAACCCAAAAATAATTGGAATGCTGTGGGAATGGTGTATTAAGAACTGTGCATGGTTGAATGAGAAGAGTCAAGAATGAATGTGGACTGAATCCAAAAATGAGCAAACAGTACACAAGAAAAGGATGGATATAACTGAAGTTGCA